GGTTTCGATACCCGTGGTGGGCAGAGCACAGATAGCCCATTGTGTAGCTTTGTGCATAACTACAAACAAACAAACAAATGAGAAAATATCAAATAAAAAAAATAACGAATTCCTAACAAAACTGCTTTTCCAACAAACATTATAAATCAAATCATTAAAGAATGTTTAAATAAGAGGTTCCTTCCTATATCGTCCACATAGGAAATACTGAAACAAAAATACTTTTAGTTTAACATATATTGGAAAGCAGGTAATAAGGACTTGAAATAAGTTAAGAAAAATAATTCATTGTAATTATTCGCAAGTAGTCCTGAGATGCGTGTTTAAGCTAGTTTTTTCTTTCTTTCTTTTTTTTAGATATAAAGATTGAATGTCCATATATCAATCTTCAAATGTAATATATCTATATAGATGTCTTAAATGTAAATTAGGTTATTTAGGTTCTACCACTAGGATGTTAGAAACACGCATATATGAGCATGCAAATTCGAGATCCAAGTAATGCTCAACCATTAACATACACTAAATAGTTGTAATGAACCTATAAATAGCGATAATTTTAAAATCTTCGCCAAGGCTAATAACGAACATGAGCTAAGAATAATAGAAGGTAGGTTAATTGATAGACTTAAACTGAGATTAAATGATGAATTTAGTGTAACTCGTTTATTCCATTCTGTTTTTATCTATAGATATATTTCATCACGAATTTTAGGCTTACCAGTTCGGCGTTTAACACTGTAACAAAGAAATTACAATTTGATTAATATTGCCAATTATTATTTCATTTTTTTTTTTTAATATTTTTGTGTTGTATCCATTATTATTGCTATCATTAACTTCAAACTATATAGCTGAAACTTTGGACCAATTACAAATATAACTAAGTTTTTAATATCGTTAGTTTTTTTTTTTATCATTATCAACCATCTATTTTAGGAAGAAAAAAAGTAATAACTGTAACATTTTAATGTCGGTCCCTTACCAACACCATTCCCTACGACCTTTGTTTACGTCTTCGTCAGTATCATGAAGCTGCTTCTGGAAAAGTTCGGTCAGGGTACGATATTTTGGGGCACACTTATTCTCATGCAAGGAGACTTTCTTAAAACATTCGGCATATTTCAGGTAACCTTTAGAATAATAGGTCATAAAACAAGGTGTTTAATTCAAAACATTTATTAAATATTCTGTTAGGCCAGTGTTTCTCAACCCACTTTGCCGGGCCGTGTGATTTTACGAAAACAAGCAAATAAAAAATTGACAAAATATTCATATTGTAATCGAATTGTTTTTTTGTTTTTTGTCGTGCTTGCATATCAGTGGTCAGCTTCGATAGGCAGCGAGCCGGTCCCTGGTATTGAAAAGGTTGTGAAACACTGTTTTAGACTATTACGTTAAAACTTTCATGAAAATTAGAAGTTTAGTTTTAGGCATTTTTTAATTTCTTTTTTTTTTCACCTGTAGTAATAATTATTAGGATTACCAGATTTTCAGAGTGACACTGTAACAGCTTTGAAATAATTTAAATTACAATAACGTACTTTTTTTCCATTTGTTAAATAATATAATGTTTACTGAATCTCGTTTTAAAACCATAGATAAATAAACTTTGATAAAACTTATCTACTTAAAAAATAAAATACACACCACTATATTAACTTTTGTTTACAAAAACTTACATTATAAATAGTTAAGAGAAACACCTAATTATTACATTTTAATACATATATATGTAGAAGATGCCGGTTCCTGAAAGCGAAATGTACGATTTCAGGAAATTTCAATTTTTTAAGAGAAAAAAAACCATTGATAATCATAAAGGCACGACTATTATAACACGAAAATGAAATTCCCACAGTAAAATAAGTAGGGGAAACCAGACCGATCCGAAGTAAAATACAATGTAAGGTGTTGTTCGTTTTGGTTTTTAAAACAAATCTGTTAAAAAAAAAAGATTACTAAAAAACTTAGCAAAAGCTGATTACAAAACTGTGTTTTTAAAGCTTTTAAACTTTAAAATAAAATAGTATAAATAGACTATTTTAACGAGAAAAAGAACGTAAATGATCCACGTTGGAAAGAACTTGGAAGTAATTTTTTATAGTTCATTTATCTCATTGTATACTCTCTTTATAACAATTTGTTTTTGTTTTTAATTTGTGGTCGAGTAACCGTTAGAACTGAGAGAAAACAAAACGATATGTATGTGGGTGGTTTCAACAAGTGCCTTTTGATAAGAGTTCTTTTATTTTTATTATCAACTAGAAACAAAATAATAATGCCCTCTGACAAGCCATAACTCGTATAAAGACGAAACTCTACCCATCCTTCAATTTACTTTTTGCCTTACCAACCTACCTTCCTGCATGGGTCCAGGCAGACATAACTCTTGGATCACCTGACGACTTCCATTAACTACGTCGTGAAATAGTTTCTCTGGCGTTCCCCACGAGCACCTGGTCATGTGATCGTCTACACACCTGCTACCGTCTCGCAGTTCCCTTTAAAAAAAAGAGAGAGAGAGAGAGAAACAAAAAAGAAGTTATAACGAAGTTGGAAAGTTGAATTTATTCAACGTAATGTAATTAGTTAATAAATGCTTATTTATAAAACGTTGCCTTCAGAGTATGAACGTCTAGTAATTATGAAATACAAAACAGTCTGCATTGCATGTATAATCAGTGACTTGGAATAAAATATAATAAAACTAACTTAACGTTTAGTATCAGGATCCACAAACAACCAAGATAAAGGTTACCACAAATTGTTATAAGTATATAAAAGACTACGGTATAAAGTTCAATTTTAAGAACAGTAGGAGAATTACTGCATTAGAATTGCTTTTAGTTAAAGATGTACGGAAGCTTTAATGTAATAAAATATGCAAAAACTTGGTTCATTTACTTCCTAACTAACTAATTAGAAAATCATGAATTTAAAAGTTTCTTTTGCATTTATTTTATCATTTTTGATTGTGACTAATTTATTTCCAAGAATAATATAAACTTTCCTTCCAAGTACTCCAGAAATTGTTTTGAATTTCCGTGACAAGGTATTTTATTTCACATCATCTCAAATTATCTTAGTTTAGTAATAACGTCACGGAATATGAGTTCCGATCTTTTCCTCCTAACGTCAAGCCACGGCCAATCAAACCTGTATCACTAATGGATGATCTGAAACGTGCGCTCGCGAACGGTTTCCTTTTCTAAATATATATATATATATATACGTATAAAAACATCTGATCCTACTTTCAATAATAGGCGGTGTATCGCGTGCAGTAGCATATACAAAGCTTTAAATGTCGCTCGGAATGATATTCATCTTTATATTATACCACAATAACATTTTAGTTTAAACACAGCCTTAACTTGCTGGAGTTAAACTGGTTTAGAGATACATTGAAGGTACAGTTCAACCTAACCAGAGATAAACTGGTTTTGTAACACAGTAAAGGCACAGTTCAACATAACCTAAGTTAAGCTGGTTTAATAACAACACTAAAGGCACATACAGTTCAACCTAACCAGAGTTAATTGTTTGTAATTAAGCACAAAGCTACACAATGGGCTATCAGTGCTCTGCCCACTTACAACGCTAGAATCCGGGTTCCGATACCCTTGGTGGGCGGAGCACAGATAGCCCATTGTGCAGTTTTGTGCTTAATTACAAACAAACCAAACATGCTCGCCCTTTCAGCCGTGGGGGCGTAATAATGTGACAGTGAATCTCACTATTCATTGGTAAAAGAGTAG